AGTTTTCTTAATTTAAGAAAAATTTTCTAGTTCTAAAAAAATTCTTATTTTAAGAAAAAGTGCACTAGAAAAATGTTTCATTATTTTCTTGAAATGAGATATATTTTTCTTAAAACAAGAAAATGTGTTTTCTTATTTTAAGAAATATTTTAAGAAATATTTTCTCAGTTAGAAAATATTTCTCGCTATTCTCCCTAGTAAAAAAATTCTTGTTTTAAGAAAATATTTCTTGAAACAAGTTTTTTTTTTCTTGAAATAAGAAAACGATTTTTTGCTCTGTAGAGGTTGAATGACGTTTTGTGGTTCGCGTATCTTTCCTTGAATGGGTTGGCCGTCATTCCAATATATTCTTTTGTATTTCCGTTATCAGTTGTTGTCACTGTGGCTTTATAGACGATGTTGTCTACTTTGCACTTCCCGTCTAGTGGGCATTCATCTGGTTTGTTACAGTTGCATTGGACAGGTTTTTGGGTAGGGTTTCTCTTTAACAGGCAATGTTTATGTCGGGATATAATGGTTTTGACATTCTCCATGCAGGAGTAGCTAACTTTGACTGTGTTGCGGTTAAAGACCTTATGAAGCGGGTTAATTAATAGAAGGGAAATGTTTATCAATCAATCGTAGGAAATTTCGACCAACGTTAATAGTGCGAACAGTTTTACTGAAGGGAGGATTAGACCAAATGATGTTTCTATGACGTCTTCGGTTGGTAGATGGCAAACTGGAGGAATTATCACAGGCCGAGTATTGCAGAGGTACATCGTAGTTGCTGTGCTTAAGCGCATCTTCGTAAAATGGTGCAGCAGAATCAAAGGATGCTTGATCGGAAGAAAGTGAGGAGATGGGTGTGTTGATTGAGGAAGGGATATGGTTAATGATAGAAGGTGGGTGGTTAGATCTATTGTCGACGTAGAGTGGGTCATTGCTTGGTTTCCTAAAAGGTGAAAATGTTTCGTTTTTCAAGTGCAATGTGTGATCTAGGAAGTTGACAACATGATAGTTCACCTCTGCTGTTATCTTGAAACCAATGTTATTAAAGATAGCGTGTAGTTCTTTCCTCGCTTTATCGGCTGATCTGGCTCGTTTAGCTTTCAAAATTGCCAACCCATCATCTCTGTACAGACCAACTTGATTCTTTCCGAACTTCCCCTCAAGTTTACTTAGGATGAATAATCCGACTAGTTCGCAAATTTCTGCCCCATCGTAGCTGCCCATTGTAACATCGAACATTGTTTCGTTATTTCTTTTAACCCATGTTTTATCTTGGTGAAAAAGTAAGGACTTGTGTGCGTGTTTGATGACAGCTACATGATCATCAGAGATTGGTGTAATGGCTTTGGCCCAGCTAATAACTTTGTCGAGGAGCTCTTCGGTAATTGAAGGATAAAAATCAACAATGTCAAATGACAGGAACATGTGGTTAGGTTTATTATTAACAGATTTGAACCAATCGATGACAGAATAGGAATTTTTCCATTGATTCACGATGATGGAAGATTTAATGTGATTGTTAATATTGTCAAGAATGACTTTGCTGACTTTTCCCAGCTCGCTCTTTGCAGGATTAATGAGACGAAATTTGGGGTTGTTTTGAAAGTTTTCTTTGTGATCCTTCAGGGTTACATACGCATTTCTTTCAGCCATGATATCAATTCGGTTTCCGATAGAAAGACTGTTAGTTATGTCTTTTAGTTCTTGGTTGATGGTATCGGTAACGCCTTCATTTCCACTGAGCTTGTAACTTTTTGTAATATTGTCGGTAAGTGTTTTTCTGTAATTTTCTGGAGAAGTTTCGTAAACATTACTAGATTTATCAGCGAAGACAACGACTTTTTGGGATGAATTGATGTTCTTTATATCTTCCTGAACTTTGCTTAGAAATGGATCGGCCACGTTTCTGAAACGGATATTTGAGGTTAATTTGACAAGGTCGTCCTCAAATGCCTTCATCTCTCTGATTGGTGGAGCATAATTCTTTGATGGTAATCCGTAATTGTTTTCTGAACTTGTAACTTCGTTATTTCCCAAAAAGAAATGGGCTTTCCATCTCATGCGCTGAACAACACTTTCGGCTTTTTCAATCAAACGTTTGCGGTAATGATCTTTCGTTGGTAAACCGATATTCTTTAACGAATAGTTGAACTGAATTCTATGCATTTTAAGATATTTCAACGGATATCTACACGAGCGAGAGTGCACAACTGAGAATCAGGTGCAATTATAATTTGTTTTGTTGTAGTAGATAATAAAGTGCTCAACACTAATACAAAAGTAGAGCAAGATATATTTATATCTTAAAATTAATTATTGCTACTCAAGTTTCACGCCTTATTCAAGACGATCTTCAGGCAATTAATTCAGTTTGTGTTTGATTCGTCACATGACGACCCGCACGTTTTGAAAAACAGCGGGATCTGCAAACTGAGTTTGCAACTTCAGGAAACGAGCAACGCTAATCACATTATTAATTACCGCTATAAGATGTCATCAATCCAGGTTCAGTTGCTTAAACGCAGTGTGAAACCAAGCAAGTAATAAGTTAATTTTCTGTTATGCATTAAAATAAAAGTGTACAAATATGTCAGGATGATATTTACGATGCTGACTGTTGACAAGTCACCTATAGTCAGGCTATGCATAATGTGAAATAAGGCTGCGTGTAATAATACTGATCGAGCATGAGTTGTAAAACAAAACGTTCTTGATATCTTAGAGATCGAATAGCGTGAATAATATTCAACCTAGATTTTGTTTACGTTCAAAGTATGGCGTGATAATTCCATATCGAAACGTCGAAACCTATTTTCCGTCTTTATAGATCTTGGCAGTATAAATAGTGCGGCGGCTCCAATGGCTTATACACTTATACAGCTTTTGCCAAGGCGCTAGTGCGCAAATGTATCTGGACCAAACGTTTTTACCGTTTTCACCAAGATATACAGTATATCTACATATTATTCCAAAAACAATAGCTGCATTGACAGCATTGTCTTAGCTATTTTACGGAATGTACGCCCGCGCCTGCCGGGTATTAAATAATATAAGACTCCTTTTAAGCTTCCACTGGTTAAGAAAAGATGGGACATCTTCATAACCTGTCAGCAAAAGCCAAAAGATGGGACATCTTTCTGACACAAGAGTTTTCACTAAAAGTATTCTAGATATTATTCCAAAAACTGTAGCACTAGCTGCACCGCCTTACGCTGACTTAGCGCCTTGTAAATAATAAAATAAGACTCCTTTTAAGCTTCCACTGGTTAAGAAAAGATGGGACATCTTCATAACCTGTCAGCAAAAGATGGGACATCTTTCTGACACAAGAGTTTTCACTAAAAGTATTCTAGAGATTATTCCAAAAACTATAGCACTAGCTGCACCGCCTTTTTCCCTAACTTAGCGTGATGTAAAGAATAATATAAGACTCCTTTTAAGCTTCCACTGGTTAAGAAAAGATGGGGCATCTTCATAACCTGTCAGCAAAAGATGGGACATCTTTCTGACACAAGAGTTTTCACTAAAAGTATTCTAGATATTATTGAAAAAACTATAGCACTAGCTACACCGCCTTACGCTGACTTAGCGCCTTGTAAATAATAAAATAAGACTCCTTTTAAGCTTCCACTGGTTAAGAAAAGATGGGACATCTTCATGACCTGTCAGCAAAAGATGGGACATCTTTCTGGCACAAGAGTTTTCACTAAAAGTATATTCTAGATATTATTCCAAAAACTATAGCACTAGCTGCACCGCCTTACGCTGACTTAGCGCCTTGTAAATAATAAAATAAGACTCCTTTAAGCTTCCACTGGTTAAGAAAAGATGGGACATCTTCATAACCTGTCAGCGAAAGATGGGACATCTTTCTGACACAAGAGTTTTCACTAAAAGTATTCTAGATATTATTAAAAAAACTATAGCACTAGCTGCGCCGCCTTAATTGCCCTAACTTAGCGTGATGTAAGAATAATATAAGACTCCTTTTAAGCTTCCACTGGTTAAGAAAAGATGGGACATCTTCATAACCTGTCAGCAAAAGATGGGACATCTTTCTGACACAAGAGTTTTCACTAAAAGTATTCTAGATATTATTCAAAAATCTAGCGCTATCGCTGCATGCACCGCTTTACTCTATAACTCAGCGTGATATGACTTTATAGGACTTTTTTAAGGACTTTTTATAATATAGGACTTTTTTAAGCTTCCACTGGTTAAGAAAAGATGGGACATCTTCATAACCTGCTAGCAAACGATGGGACATCTTTCTGACGCACGAGTTTCCACTATATATATAAATACTCATAATTACTCAGATAATATGTATACGCTTATAGTTATTTTGTATTCCGCACTGCGCTGTCATGCGAAGAACAAATGAATATAATATAAGGTTCTTTTATTATACCAGCCATATATATATATATGTAAATAAATATTATTTGTCTTGTGCTGCCATGTAACAAAATATAGAAGTGAGTATATTATAATGAATATATTACAATCAACTCGCGGTTGTGATAGCCCTGCTTGAAAGCCGTGGTACCCGGCGTATCTAACATACTGTATTCTAAAGCAAATAATAACTGATTAAGTGGTGCGATACCTACAGCTTTTTGACTATTATACCCAACTGATTACGCATCAATCTTTAATAAGCACCCATCAAAATATTGCCAGTTTGTTCGATCTTGATCTCCATACTGAATCCATACACACGATTGTCAAGCAGAATGCACTCTTTCTTCAGACCAGATTTTGGCGCAATTTGAACTTTGCGCGGCATTGTCTGCTAACATTATTATAAATTGGTGATGACAACCTGGTTTGTATGTTAGCTCAGTTAGTTATTTGCTACATCATATCTATATGGGGTTAAATTTCATGCGCGCATAAATTATTTCACTATAAATTCATTATATATGTCACCACTCTTACCACCTCGACTAATAATGCTGTGGTGACCAACACCTTCAAGATAATTCAATTTATAGGCGTGCGGGTCCTCATGATCAACGGTCGGTCGCTGACGCGTAGGCTTGTCTTGCGTCATTGGTTTGATCAAACCAATGACGCAAGACAAGCCTACGCGTCAGCGACCGACCGTTGATGCTGACGAATCAAACACAAACTGAATTAATTGCCTGAAGATCGTCTTGAATAAGGCGTGAAACTTGAGTAGCAATAATTAATTTTAAGATATAAATATATCTCGCTCTACTTTTGTATTAGTGTTGAGCACTTTATTATCTACTACAACAATATATATATATATATATATATATATATATATATATATATATATATATATATATATATATATATGTAACAAACAGAACGGCTACGTTTGAAGAAGTTTATTAAAAAAAAGTTATATTAAATACAAAAACGTTTTTGTATCTAATATAACTTCTTTTTTTTTAATAAACTTTTTTTTAATAAACTTCTTCAAACGTAGCCGTTCTGTTTGTTACATATGAAGTCTTGTCGGCTGAGCAGAGTACTGGCATTTGATTATCAATTTCCCGTTTGTAATACCAAATGACTGAAAAACGGCAAACTTCGCAAGGCTATATTATCCGCATTTTACAACATTTCGCAACGAAACTTTGGAATATTACTAATTTTGTGATGCTCTTTCAAGCTGTGATGAAATATTTGTCTAGATCAAAATTTAGTCTATAATGCAAATGGTCCATTACGGCAACACAATTGTGAATGGGTGTCTATCGCTAATAAACACCCATTCACAACTCCGCAGAGTGCTCATCAACACCGAAGACGAAGTGAAGGAGCGTAGTAGTATGGATGCATGCATGTGTGTGTGCATGGAAGCCGTAATTTGTATTTGGCGTAAAGAGTGTTCCATGCAAATATTAAAGAGGGTTCATTCCTTTTTTTATACCAGAATTTAGAGATTCTATCGTCGATACTGTTTTGCAGTATATAGAAGAAAAGAAAATTAAACTTTGTGAACAAGAAGAATTAAAGAAAATCGCTATAACTTTGAGAGAACTTGGCGTTGGAGATCCACCAGATTTTGAGTCACTCTCCCTAGCGAGCATCGAGTATTTTCATGGCAAAGAAATTTCGTCCACTGGACGGAAGATGCTGCAAGAGAAGTTTGAAATTGCAATGGAGCCTCGTGAAACCGCTTTTGATATAGGTATGAGATAATACATGATAGTTGCGCCCAATAATCACTAGGCGTCTTGGCAGGGCTATAAAATGTGCGCCTGGTTCACTGCTATTTTAGGTAGATCACAAAAGGCACCTCATTAGTATTCCAATAATTTTAACGCATTAATATTCCAATAATCTTATGGCGGCTTACAATTAGTCACTAATTAATGTGTAACTAAAGAGTTTCCGCATATTAGCTACTTTTTACTGTGGGACTACTTGCCATTCTTACCCAAAATTGCTAAATATATTAAACCTTCTACTATTTATGCAATTTGCTAAAAATGAGTACAGTATAAACAAATCATATTTCTAACTGATTAAGGTAAAGCCCCGTTTATACACTACGCTCAATTTATGGTATACGGCACGGATAAAATTGGTATCCGTACCACTTTTTTGGTTCTTGGACTACCTAATTTAGGTAGTCCAAGAACCAAAAAAGTGGTACGGTACCAAAAATTGAGCGTAGTGTAAACGTGACTTTATTCAACGTTAAAGATGAACTAAGCATGCTCATATAGAAATGGTGACTTTGGTGACCTGCATAAGGACTATTCAAATCCCAACCCAGACAGTTCAGACAAGTGTGTTGCCCATGGCCGAAACCTGTGTAGTTGACCTGAGCATGCAGTGACTGTATAGTCATTTATGCGAGACAGCCTGAAAAACAGTCTGAATAGCAGTCTGGGGAAAAGCAGCTTTTGCCCAACAGCAGATTACTTGTATTTGTAATTCCAAATCTACTGTCTGGATGCAGGCAATTTCATCATTTTTTTCTCAAAGGGTCTATATTCATTTAAAAGAACTTTTGGTTTCAATTTATCTTTGTTTAAAGAAACGTAATAAAAGTGGCTTATTTTTGCAACCGCATCTGGGTGTATTGTAAATATATTTGTATTTTGCACTATAAATATCAAATATGCATAGGCTATATCTTATTTTGCGTTATCTTAAATTTTCTTGACAAATTTAGGTAGTCTAGTTGGTCAAGGTTATAACATCTTAACCGATAGATCAGCCGCCACCCAAGTGTTCAAGTTTGATGTTACCAAGACCCAATACGGTATTGCAATTCCGAAGTGTGCGAAATTTGAAAAGGTTCAGCAAACCAGAAGCTATATGGATCAGTTTGAAAATGATGAATCATACACGGAGTCGAGGCTGAAGAATCTTAATGTAAGTATGGATGCCAAACCCAAGGTGCTGATGACGGGTCACAGAGCTGGATGTAATAGGAACAATTATTCCACCTCGTCGGAAGTTTCTTTCTTGTTCGAACAGCGAATGTTTGAAATAAAGTTTGGAAACTATGAGGAATATCTGGATAAAGGCGTGACCTTCACAAAAGATTTCAGGTCAGATGTTGGAAAGCTACCATGCACGTATGACAAAAATGATCCCAGTTGCAGAAGTAGCTTCGAGAGATTCTTCAATCGTTTCGGTCATTTTTTGGTATCTTCGGCGTATGGAGGAGGATCAGTCGAAGTAAAATGTAGCAGAGAAATGGTTGGGAGCGCAACAGCGAGCTTAGCAGAAGCGAAGGCTGTCCTGACAGAAGCATTTGAAGGGTTAGACGTACATAAAACAGAATTTACGGCAGGTACCAGCTTCTTCGGGAACTTAAACACTTTGTTGAAGCGATGTAGTATTTTCTGGAAAGGCGGCGACACGATCCTTCGTGAGAAAGAGACAATCGCTTATAAAGAAAAGATGAAGAAATGGAAAGCATCTTTGCTCGTAAAACCAGCGATTCTTACTTCAGAAATGACACTAGAACCCATTTCTGCTGCAGTAGCTCATGTCGATCCCAAAAAAGATAAAACAATTTACGACGCACTTAAGGATCTTTTGGGAGGTGAATTTAAAGTTCTTGAAGAGAAGGAGGAACAGAAACGTGCAACGGAAGCACGTGCCAATAAAATCGGCGAGGCAACTAGAAGAAAAGAAACTGTTCAAGATCCAAATGAAAGCGAAGGTGCATGTTTTCCCTCAAGCTCCGTGGTTAATGTCCGGAACCTGAAAGACGGCGCAGTAAAACAAAAAAAAATGGTGAAACTCGAAGTGGGCGATAAGGTTATGGGTTGGGATGAGAAACGTAATCGAGCTATTTTTACAGAAATAATCATGTTTGCGCATCGTGCATCGGGTGTTATGGATGTGCAGTACTTGAAAATTGCCCTCGAAGATGGAAACAAAATCACTCTAAGCGGTAACCATTTGGTTATGGTTGGAAAGCACAAGAAGGCAATCCTAGCCCGAAAGGTGAAACGGGGAGAGATCCTGTTCACAGTCGATGAAAACCGGAAAATTTCACCTAAAAAAGTTTTGGCAGTTGACAAAGTGATCGAGCAAGGCGTCTTCTGTCCAATCACCGTACATGGAAACCTGATTGTCGATAACGTGCTGGCGAGCTGCTATGCATCCGTCCAAGACCATGTTTTCCTCGAAGGTCTCGTAAAGATCTCAGCTCAGAGCATAGCTCATTTTGGCCTCGTGCCAATGCGAGCTCTCCACAAGCTTCGATTAAAATGGTGGAGAAAAATTCCAAATGGCCAAACCATACACCCCTACCTGCATTGGTTATGCAAATTCAAGCTGCCATTCATGGCAAATTAACATGTTTCAAAAACAGAGTTGGTGAAATTACTGATTTGATTGTTGATGTTGTTAGTTAAATAAGTTTTTGTACGATGCGATAAAGATAATAATATAATGTAATCTAGCCTTTCTAAACACTGGACGATACTGAGAAAAACGGTCAGGGTAAGGACCTGGTAAGGATTAGTGTCAGCATTCAGAAACAGCGAGATATGATCTATAACTCAAATACGAAACATGCGTTGTTGAAAGATGAACGAAAGTTTAGTTAACTTTTATAGACTAGTTTCATTATGACGTTTCATTATGACAACTATCACCAGAATTAAATCATTTATTGAGTAATAACCTTGGTAAACAGATACAGTATGGTGTTTTTAAGTAAAATGTGTATCCTCATATATTAGCTTTTAGTATCGCATTAGCTGATTGTAGCCAAATAAGTTGTATCAAAATTGTGTCTCGGAAAATAAGTGCTTTACGCCTTTAGAGGTTTCGTATTACTGGTGTTGCGAATGATTCCTGACGATTCCTGATACTCTGTATCAATAGATAAATATGAAGAAGGGAGCTTAAAAATGGGCGACACCATAAAACAGCCATTTATTCATTTAATTAGTTCACGTTGCATGATCACATCTGATTTTTGTTGTATAATCCTTGGGCAGCCCAGCAAATATATCATGTATCACTTAAAATGCATTAAAAACATTCCCTTAGTTCGCCTTACTTTTTGCTATCTGAGAGAAGCTACAAAGAACTTTTTGTGAGATTATTACGGATCAGTTCCTCTATCAGAAAGCTGTAGGTACGACACACTTGCGTGGGAATAAACTGGACTGTGTATTCTTCAATGCCCCGCAGCTCATCACAAACATAAATTGCGTAAACCTTATCGAGTTCGACATCAAACTTTGTTTTCAAAAAGCAAAAGCGGTAAGACGAACAATATATGACTTTAAAAATGCAAACTTCAATGGTGCTCGTGAACATTTCTTGCACCTTTTCAGATATGACTCTGCCATATTTGAAAACGCAGATATAGATGAATACTGGAAAGCGTGGAAATACCTATTCATTACGGCAATAGTAAGATCAGTTTGTCCCGAAAAATACTGTTCTGGAGATCAGTACACCACCTTGGATACTAGACTGGGACGTTAATTAAGCACTTAGCTAAAACGAAGTACACAACTCTACGACGTCAATGTCGCCAGAAACGAACGGAAGGACGAAAACGCAAACTACGAAAATTGACGCAACTAGAGAAAGTTAAGGATTCCATCGCAAAATCACCAAAATCATTCTGGTCCTACTTTCTCAACAGAAATATCCCATCTGCCAACACGCACAACAATGTAACTACAACAACAAAGCTAAACTTTTCAAAAAATTCTTCTCGCCCTTGTCTTTCTTCCAAAGTCCTGTTCCAAGAACATAAACGTGAACATGATTCCAAAAACTGACGAGGTAATGTCTGATATTGAGATCTTGGAGTGCGAAGTCGAGCAATTTCTTAACATTCTTTTGCATGAGCTACGAATGCATATATGGTCAGCGAGTTGTCATCGAGGGCGTTGTCTAGGCATGGTCTCCAGTGACATCGGACATCATTTGTGATATTTATAAATGACTTCCCTGATAATGTTTCGCCCAGTACAGAATACTACAGATTCACCATTGTATGCAGATAACTTTAAAGATATACAGAGAGATATTAAGATCAGTAGATGAATGCCAGTCCTTACAAGAATAGCTACCTGTACCTTACCAACTGGAAGCGTGGAACATTAATAGAAGAATGCGATTTAATACCGAAAAGTGCAAGGTACTGACAGTCTCATGAAGAAAACACAATCAAACGCAATTTATATGTCGCGTGTATGGGAATTATATTATCTGCATGTAAAGCGAAAAAAGATCTTGGTATCCTTGTGTTCAGTAATTTGGAAAGGGGTCAAGTGCTGATAACAATAGCTTTATGACAGCGTCTCCTCTCTTCCAAAATTAGCCAGTACTGTGACGTTTATGTCTGCATTCACAACGCAAGATTGAGCATCGCATGGTTTAAATAAACACCTATGCCTGCAAAAACAGTTGCTAGACTATTTTCGCGGTAACACAATGAAATTTTATTGAATTTTAAACTATTTTGGTCTTTTTTTGTGCCTATTACAAATATAGCTATATTGATGATTTTGAATTTGTTAATACAACTCTCGTCACGGCTTTCAATAGACACCTAAAATGATATTTCAAAGTTGAATTAGCTTAGCTTGGTTCCAGTAACAGCATAAAGTTCATTCAAACAATGTTTTATAGTCAGGAAAAAGTTTTTGGGAACACGAATCACACGATTTATCCCGGCTAGCCGGGCTCGTAGGCTTGAACAGCGGAGCCGGCCTTAATTCGGTGTAGACGAAATGAGTGCATTAATTAAAATCATTGCGCAGCCGAAATGATATTGTCATGGAAGTTATTATGAGGGGTCGGTGTTTCCGCAAACCTTTTTTTTCTCCATTATCGGTTTCCACACTCCGTCGTTTTTCTTCTGAAAGCTTTCGTTCAATTTCGTTTCAAAGCAATTTATGAGGGCTGATGAAAGAAGCTCACAGTTCACAAACACAAAGTTGCACGTTCATAGACTGAACTTAAGATGGCAAATTTCCCGTCAGAGCAGAGAGAATACCTATGGCTATGGTAGGCTGTTTTGAGGCTCTGAATAGTTGTGATTCGCGTATGAAATGCATTTACCATCAAAAACGGTGTATTAAAAAGCATGCAATGCCAACGCAATGCGTAAATATCGAGATCTCAGTGGGCATCTCGCTCGATAGAACTATCAGTTGAGGGGTTTTTATTGGTAAAAGTTTGGAGCGGAAGGTTATACAATTTTAGACCTAATTACCAGGAGCCTCACTGCCACTGGCAGGAATCGAACCTACAGTACAGCCCTACGATTCTGGGGCAGCGCTCTAACCAGCTCTGAGCCACAGTTGTCGAGCTCCACAAGTTAACCACCAGTTCTTATATATTATATATATATTATATATGGGGAGGGGGGG